ACCAAACCTTCAATGGAGTTTACAGCGCAGCAACTGAACCAATACAACGGCTCCGACGCATCCAATCCAATATACGTAGCAATCAAGGGCCGAGTCTTCGATGTCACCGCCGGAAAATCCTTCTATGGTCCCGGTGGTCCTTACGCCATGTTCGCAGGCAAAGACGCGACCAGAGCTCTTGCGAAGATGAGCAAGAACGAAGAAGATGTCTGCGCATCTCTCGATGGCCTCTCCGAGAAGGAGATCGGCGTTCTCAACGACTGGGAGAAGAAGTTCGAAGCTAATTACCCCGTCGTTGGCCGCGTCGCCTCTTGAATTGCGTTGCTTCTCTGAAATTTTAGGTTATATGCGTGTGTTTAATCCTCTCTGTTTTAGTGTTTGTGTAATACTGTTATTCTAAGGCTTCAATCGCTTGTTTGTGTAATGGTATCTGTTAATCTGTGTGCCTAGTTTGGAACGTGAATGAATAAATATTGGCTTTATGCCATGTGGAGTTGTGGACGTTTAAATTTACAAGAAATGAATTTGGGTTCTGCAAATTTGGATCTTTGATGCCAATATGAATTAGTTTCTCTTTGGAAAACTGCAGTTTGAGTGTGCTAATCTTAATTTCAGGATTCAAGACTCCAGATTTGATGCTCTGTTACACAGAATTTGTACAATATATTTACAAGATTAGTGATTCAATACTGCTTCTAAGTAATAATGTAATATTACATTTGAAATTTCAAAATATTCTCTCCCCAACTGTCCAAAATTACATTGCTCCGACACTAGCCAAAGCCACAAAAATTTAGCTTTAAATAGGGAAATCCCAAGTAGACCTTTTTCTCAGCTAGATGTGTATCTGTCTTTGGTAATGTCAAAGGAGAACTCATTATGAAGAACCATCCAGAGCTAGCTGGAGGTGAAACCAGCTATTTCTCCCCAACGCCTAGCCTCTGCACCCTTCTGATTCTTGCTTTGTGTTTTCTTGTCGCCTCACCTTCAAATGCAGGTCTCTCTTTTGATTTCTATGCAGCTTCCTGCCCTACTGCTGAGTTCATGGATAAAAACACACTGAGGGCTGCTCCAGCTATGGATCCAACAATCCCTGGGAAGCAACTGGGTGCTATCTGGGTGCTATCTGCAGCATCAATCAAATATGAAGGCAAAACAAGGAATGTTCTGGGTTATCATACAGTTGAGGAAGAACAGATAAGCTGTGCCT